TCAGGTGAAAACTTAACAAGCAATTTCAACCATTAAATAACAACTTATGAAAACATGTACTGAAAGGTCCAATGCCTTCAATAAATTTAAAGAATATATGTAATTGGAAACATCTCTTAAATATCTAACACAATGTAGCTTGATTGACCAGCAAACTCAAGCACAAACATGTAAAAACATTTTTAGTTTCTTTCTACCAACAAATTTAAAACATCTGATATAGAAATTCAGGTCACATGAATCAAAATGTATCTTCAATTAATTTTAGCAGTTTAAATTTATGAGGAATCCTTTATAAGTCAATTAGAACAGAGTTCTTAATAAATTTTCTCATGCAGATATACAGTATGTATATACATATAACATAACATACAAGATAGAACAATAAAGCAATTTTAGCAATAGCTTCTTAAAATTTTTAACTGTTCAATTCTTAATTTACCAATTGATTCAAATTATTTTCTGCTCTTAGTAGCCTTGATTAACCATACTTTCTCTCAGTTGGAACTTGTAGTTCATTATTGGCTTCATCTGCTTACAGAGCCACCCAAAAGTGCTGAATACAATAGATTTGGCTGGAAAAATTCCATCAGAACCTATAGGAGGACAGCCAAACACAGAACCAACAGTGTTTAGTTTTATGAGCAGGTATTCAAAACTATGGATGACAAATAGCCATGTTTAAAGTTATAAACTCATTAACCAACAAGAGGTATTTATTTTCTTACTCCATACAGTATTTTTTAAAGCACGTGTAGGATTTTACACAACATTTATCCCCTTTAGGCCTCTGGGCCTTTCTCATTAAAATAACCATCATGCCTGGTAACACAAGATTATTAGACTTTTTAACTTTCAGACATTTGTATCAGTAGCATTTTACATTATCATAACTTAAAATTAAGCACCACTTCACATCTTGACAGTACCTGTAATATAATCCAAATAGCCTGATTAGTTGGTGTTTTTACAGGATTAGAGACATATATCCTTTGCTATTTCCAGGGTCCCAACTGGAAATATCAAAGTCCAGAGAATTATAAACTTTTATTTTTTAATGTGATTTTTAAAATGTATGTCAAAGATGCCAAGAAAGCCTAAAATATCTGGTTGAAATAAGATCCCTTAACATCATGACATAATATAGACCCGATCTGACCATTGTTACAAGGTGATTATTCACATGTTTTAGAATAAACATATATTTAAACAAACCATAGCTCTTAATAGAAACTCAGCTGTTTTAAACAATCAGAACTTAAACAGATACATTAAGAGAACATAATAGATTAACAGAACACAAAATCTGTGTCTCTTTGGTCATTCCAAAAATCAGGAATAAAACCTTAAATTTAAGAGCTAGTGCATGGAATCACATCCCATAACTTGGAACAGTTTCAACAGAATCAGAACTAGGGAAGAGAAAATAGCTTACTGGAGCTGGCTAGAAATCTGAGAGTCACCAATTAATCAAAACTATTAAAAAGAGATGCTACAGGTTTTAAACAGAATTTAAGATGATTTCAAAATATTGTAAAAATCTCATTGCTTTAACAGAAGATCAGATTCTAGCTCTATGTCAAATAATAGCTTTTGCTTTCTACCTGCTGTTTTTCTTGATTTACATTTTTAAATAACCCTTTAGAATTCTCCAAATTAAGATAACATTTTCTAAATAAGATAACACATCAAATTCCAACCTTAGCTACTTTCAAGTGGTGTCGAACTATTTTCATATGGACAATTTATGAAAACATATTAGCAAACACAATTTTTCTATAGAATATAAGGTGTTGGGGCCGGCGCCCTGGCACACTAGGTCAATCCTCCGCCTGCAGCGCCGGCATCTCATATGAGCGCCGGCTCTAGTTCTGGTTACTCCTCTTCTGGTCCAGCTCTCTGCTGTGGCCTGGGATAGCAGTAGAGGATGGACCCTGCACCCACGTGAGAAACCAGGAGGAAGCACCTGGCTCCTGGCTTCGGATCGGCACAGCATCAGCCATAGTGGCCATTTGGGGAGTGAACCAATGGAGGGAGGACCTTTCTCTCTGTCTCTCTCTCTGTTTGTAACTTTGCATGTCAAATAAATAAATAAAATCTTTAAAAAAAGAATATAAGGTGTTAAGAGTACCAATGTTTACATTTAGACACATTCATCTCATCTGCTTTTACCCAATTTACATTTAGTAATAACACCTAGATGAGTAAAGATAGTGGTATTATACTGTATCTGAATTAAGGTCAAAATTGCATTCATATGGGATTCTACTCCTTTTATAAGACTCTAACTATAAAACAGTGACAATAATCTAGAGATTACAAAATCTACCTTAGGGATTATAACAAGTATTAGTTACCCATTGCTGTTTTATCAAGTACTGTTACCCATTGCTAGATCATTGGAAAGCTAGTAAGACAAATTGTACAATAAGTTTGGCAAGTTATTGTTTACCATTATGTTAGGTTTAAAGGGAGAGAGCATCCATCAGAGCAGATGGGTGTCCCTCTGGAGATTCCTAAGTAGAATCTGATAGGTGATCGAATAAGGGGCAATTATGGAAAAGAAGATATGTCTGGAAATAGTAATGAACCCAGTGAGTCTTCTGGTTTGAAGGGCCAGTAGTCTTGATCATTACTTCACATAGGTTGAGAGAGATATATGGGTGTAGAATTTCTGAAATTTATCTCAGGGCTCTGTGGTCCCCTTGGTGCAGGGCAGAACAGATGCCAAAGTGGCTAGGTTAAAAGAGAGGGAGTGGCAGAATGGAGGAGGAAGGTCTAGGGAGAGAGAGAGAGGCAGTTTTGACTGTTAACCCAGAGCTACTGAACGATATATGAACCAGGCCAAATGGTGGTGTAGAAAAAGACGAAGCATTTTTCTTTAAGCTCAAGGGTCAAGATGTCTCTCAAAACTCTCTCACTGCCTGTGGCGTCCAGACATGCACTGAAGCTGACAGGGAAGGGAAGAAGGTGAGGGTGGGATTAGCATGTATTATGTCCACTCAGCCTTCCACGCCTGTAACCTTGGGTATATATTTGTCAGAATAGCACATGCAGGGAAGTGATCAGTTCCCTTTACCAGTGGTGTGCTAGACTGGGCCTCTGTCTGGTCAAATATACTGTTGCTCTGTTCCCCTACATGAAGAAAAATTGTCCTATGTGTTTTAAACTTGTGTCATATCTAATAGACCTGATTTCCACAATGGGCTTTCATGGTGAGAGCCTTAGCAAAGGTGTTTTTAAACTAGAGAGTGCCAGCTCTTGTTACTATCTAGATTGGTGACTAGGCAGGTGAAGTTACAAAGAAGCATAGTACAAGGAGTAAAATTCTCCCCAGTAAACCTCTTCTCAGGTATGTACTACATAGGGAGGACCAGACAGAAGTAACCCAAAAGAGGGAACTTAAGAAGGAAGACAAGGGATACCAGAGACATGCTGAAACTTGTCTACACAAGTTCAGGTGAAGTACAGACTCTATCTAATGAGAGTCTGGGTCAAAAAACTGCCCGTCTGCAAACAGGATAATTAGACATTAACCCAGAGCTAACGAATGAAATATCTAGGAAATGCTTACTAATGGGACAAGGAAATCGAGTTTGTAGGAATTGAGGAGACCTGCTGAAGTCAGCTTGACATTCAGTTACAAGGATGGAACAAAACCCATCAAAAGATGTGATTTGCAATGCTTCGTCCTGCCTGACTTGCTCAGAACAAAGATAGAACTTGCTCAGAACAAAGATTGATAGAACAAAGAGCTATCAGAAAGGTGGGATAGGTAACTTGTTTACAGTAAACTGTGAGTTCAAATGGACAGAATTACACTCCCTTGCTGTTCTTATGGTAAAATTGAATCAGGAAGGGGAGGGGCAAAGACCAGTTGGAGGGCCAGGGCTTGGAGCCTGCCTAGCCCATTCCCAAACTTGCCTTTGTTTCTCTGGGGGGAGGAGGGTGTTAGCGACTATCATAGATAAGGCAGGGGGAATATACATAGACAAGGGCTGGTTCTGAGTTAGGGGTGAGCACTGTCACTGCCAGGCTTTGTGCCACAGTGGCAGATTCCAGGAATGAGGCCATGCACATCTTGGGGACCATGATTCTGCCCCCCACACACATGCAGCTCCCTCACTATTTCAGCTCCCTCTCTACCCCTCCTCTCTTCCTACCAGCTGAGGCCTCATGTAATTATAAGAATTGAGGATGCTATGCCTCCCAGGGCAGTGCATGGTGCTAGAATTCACCACAAGCAGAACTGATCTAAGATGTCTCTCATGACAGAAACCCCAGATGTAAAGTCCGTACGGAATGTTTTCATTCAGACACCAGCCCACTGTGTTACTCTATCTCCAAGAAATGGCCTACTGGTCAGTGTTAAACCCTCAGCTGAAGGACTCTAGGCCTCCTGGGTCAAGTGAGAACTTTTACATGCATGGTTTTGTCCCCACTGAGTTCTTTGTTGACGCTGAGGCCTATGATTCTAACACTGACCGCTTAGCAATGAGGAATATGGAGCTCATCACTGAGAAAAGGCCAGAATGCAAAGCATGGGGGAGCTCTGAGAGCAGAGCATCCACTCCAGTTTCCAGGGTGAAGGTCACACAGGATTGCTCACAGGAACCAGAACAGAATCAGTTTCTCTACCTCTAACCCAAAGAAGAACCTGCTCTTTTGTCCTGTGTGTCCAGCACCTGCCCTTTCCCCCACCCCATGCTGAACTGTGACTCCTCTTTCCAACCTTCCACAGAAAGTAAGGAGAGAGAACCACCAGCATCTGGTGGTTATGCCTTTAAAATTTTGGTAAGTAACTTTAAAAGTTGAGGGCTTAGAAGGAACTAAGAATGACACACAGCTTCTGCACGAGCTGTCCCTGTGAATAGTGCCACCAGAGGGAGATCAGTTATTCATCAATAGGATCATACTTGGCAGGGGGTGGGGGGTCGGTGGATGGGATGAGCCAAACTCTAGAAACACTACATAAAGGTGATGGAAAATGGAATTAAAAGATGACTTTATTGTTGCATGAATTAAGCAAGGGAACTGTTCTTAAAATTCTCTGACAGGGAGGAACCTCACACCCTTCAGAGAGAGCGAAACACAAAACATGAGAGGCAATTTAATTTGAAACTGCTGTGAACTGGGATAGGAAAGGAGACAAATGTATGGGTAGAGAGGGGGCACTGGCTGCAGAGAAACTGGAGGAAAGCAGCTGGGTCTCAGCTCCTGGACTCCACAGGTAGTAGCTGCTTTTCTGGTAGAAGATGTTGGATTCCACCTGTGAAGCAGAGCAGAGTCAGGACAAGGTCATGCCCAAACAAGGATCTACCCACATCCCTCCTAAACAGGATGCTGGCAAGGGGTGTGGTGTGTATAACACTAACTTGAAAGGGTCTGGAACTTCTCAGTAAAGGACTGCATCACCACTGAAACAGACAGAACAAGGCAATATAAAATAGGCCTATGGAAGCCTGGATCCATGCCCTCAGGGAGGGGAAAGTGATCACTTAGCCATGCCACCTGCAACCCCTCCATTCATATTCCAACAGCACTGGGACAGGCATACCAACCCATCACCTGAATTATATGTGGAAAAATCTTCTAAACAGGAACAAAATGGACCATTCTCAAACGTTGGGTCATATCAGAACCATCCAGAACATGTTAAAAAGCAAATAATCAAACAACAAGAGAAACCACACAAATCACAGCAAACAGCATTTGAAGTGATAACACATGCAATATTTCTAAACATGGTAAAGAATGTGATCCCTGGGGCTCTTTGGCAAAGTGCAGGCACAATTCAGACAATGCATTTCCCCTTGTGTTCACTGACAGATAATAAATCATGGCTGGGGAACCTCTTGCCCATGGGCTGTATAAAGCCAGTGAAATCATTTGGTCCAGTCCTGCCAAGGCAACAGAGGCAGGATTTTAAATTCAATAAATGTATAGCAGGTTCATTTTTTAGTTGATAATTTTGTATGGCCTGTGATTGATTTTGTAAATATCCAAATGGCCTTTGGCATAAAAAAGTTTCCCCACCACTGCTGTAAATGCAGTTAAGTGTCCAGAGGTAGGCCTCTTTGGTTTTCCTCCTCACAAGAATGTGGGTCCTAATGATGCCACCCACAGCTGCAGCCTACCACTGTCCCGTGTCATGGCACCTGCACAAATTCTCCATGGACTGCTCCAGTCCCAACCTCAGCCCAGCTTAGAATTCAACAAACCTGGTTGCTCTCGTAGATCTTCTGTTTCGTTCTGTAGCACAAGACAATAGCCCAGTAGTCACCAGAGAGAGAGAGAGAGAGAGCGCAGAATGGTGAGTATATATTGGCTTCCTCCCACCCATTCATGCCCCCATCCTTTTCATCTGACACTTCCCATAGCCCAGTACCCAGACTGGCTTGGAATCCTAACTGGAAAGCAGGCGGCCTCTCTCCTGTGGTGTGGGATGGTGAGTAAGGGTCATGGGCGTCAGTTTGACCTGGACATGTATTCCACCATCTTGTTTGGGCTTGCCTTTCTAAGAGCCAGAGAGCACTACCCAAGGACAGCCCTCTATTGCACTTGGCAAGTGCTACCTTTCTGATCTCCAAGGACGGACAGGTGGTTCCAGGTCACCTGAAACAGAATGCGAAATTCCCAGCCTGGGAATGAGGTGGAAAGGGCCTTGCAGGGACTAATATGAGTCTGTCTCAACCCCTCTGACAACAAGTTGCCCCTACTCTGCCCAGGAGCTCCAAACCGCTCTCTGAGCTAGAAAAGTTTCAGCTAATGTGCCATAGTACCTCCCTAAGGCTATGGCTCTTGGTTAAACACTACAAGAGCCACAGGCACAGCCAGATCAAAGGAGAAGCAACACGGCTGTGCAGGACACAAAGGGAAAAGTTCTCTTCCACTGATCATCTACTTCTGGTTTTGAGCTTGGGGCACTGTCACAAACCACCCTCACCTCATAAACCCCACTCAGAGGGTGATGTGGACTAATACCAGCCCTGTTTATGCCCAGTTTCCTATGAAGATTGACCTGGACAGGAAGGGAAACCTGGGAACAAGCCTGAGCCACAAAAAGTGACAGAGTCAAAGGTTTCTCTCCTCAACTCCTCTCCCCTCCATTGAATCTAACCCACTGAACTTACGGGAGTGTGCAGGGTCTCTGGGTATGATATCTCGCTGGCTTGGGGACAAAGATAGCCAGTTTGCCCCAACTTGGTGTTCTCTCATATTAGGGTCCCCGCTGATGAATTCTTTGTGATGACTGTACTGAGAAGGCATCCGTGGTCTATATGCTGGAAACTAAAACAGAAATATTCTCAGAGTTTGGGTAGGGTGTCAGTGCCAGTGTGGGTTGTGTGTGCAGCACCATGGTGAGGTGAGATCATGAGTTAACAAGAGAACTGTAGGCTCATCTCATCAGCTCTTTCTCTCTCATTCAGCCACAGGACAGGAGGCAGAGTTGAGCCAGGGAGAAGGGGAGGGTTTTGTAAGAAGCACAGCCCATGACAGACAGTATTGGTGAACAGCTGGGAGAGAGTAATCAGGAGCCTGACAGAAATAAACATAAAGGCTCTGCAGCCTAATCTGCAAGGGGGTCCCCTGATCTTTTAAAAATCAACTGGTAGTCCTGTCTTCCAACCAGTTCTTCTCTAGTAGGAAGCAGGAAACTTGTCAAGAACAGTGCCTGACACATACCCAGTGCTCTCTAAACCTTTATATCTTACCTGAAGATGTCAACTTTGCATCCTAGTTACTAGGGACTCCCAATGACTATGAGAGGGTAAGGGATGGAGGGAGGTGGCCTAGAGGGATGTGGATTGAGAATGGGGAAAATGGGGGCAAAGAGGAATAAGAGGGAGAGGGAGAGGAAGAGGAAGGCCTACTCACTTGGGTCCTTGGAACAGGATCTCTGTTTGGGCCACCACCTCCTCTGGCCATGGGCTGGGCTTCCCTCTTCCTCCTGGCCCCAGATTTCTTCACAGTGCCTCCCTGCCTGGACTGTTTGGCTCCCCAAGGAAGTGGGGAAGACGTACTGGGTTTCTCAAGCAGTGAAACAGAGAGTGGAGGGAAGCTATCTGGTTCCATGAGAGCTGCTGACTCTCTGTGCCCCCATGGTGCAAAGGCTGTCCTCAGGAGAACTTCTGGGTCAACCCCTAGGGATTTCTTCTTCTCACCTGGATTCCTCCCAGGATTGGCCTGGGGCAGGCACCATGCACTAGCAGGTGCAGCAGCAGCAGCAACACCCGAGAGGTTGGACCTATCCCATCCTGTGCAGGGAATCACACTCTGCAATGTCTTAGAGGAAGAGGGACCCATCTCCCCCACTGGCTGCCCTTCCATGGTCCAACTGAGCCCCTGCAGAATAGAGGTCAACAGAGGGTCTGAAATGTGAGGGAAATCAGCCCTGTCATGGTAAGTCGAGTGTCCAAAACTTTCTGCTGCTTCTTCGGAGCTGCTGCCCTTGGCTTGGCCTCCTCCTTCTTGGTGAAAACTCACACTCATGGGATGCATGTCCCTGAGCTCATCAGAGAACTCAGTGTCAGAAGGCAGCAGGAGAAAGCCTTCTCCACAGCTGCGCTGGATATCGGTGCGAATACTCAAGCCCTGCGTGGTGCCTCTTGTCTTACTGGGGCCCCAGACCCAGCCTTCTTTCCGGGCACTCACGTGCGGAGGAACAGCATAAGCCTGCAGCGACTCCACACTGTGTGAGCACAGCGCACCACTACAGGTGCAGTCTGCCTGGCGGCACGCCCATATGCCAGCCGCTTGGGCGCTGCCGCTTTCTATGCTTGGCAATTGGGGCACCGCCCCTTCACCTGGGCCACGCAGCGGCTGCCCGAAGGCCGCACACACCTCAGCGAACTGGGGCTCAGAACTGGCAGTGCGCTTCCCGTCCAGGGCAGGAGTGCCACGCCAGGCCTGGCAGCCCCAAAGCACCCTTGTTTCTGCCTGGGTCATTTCTACATCGGTCTCAGGGCCAGAGTCCAACTCCAATGGCCACGTGAGGGCCTGTGGGCTTGAAGGCCTGCATTCCCCTCCATCTGCTCCCTGGTCCTGGTCCTGGTCCTGACTCTGGCCCTCACCCCTTCCCACAGGATCCAAATCCAAGTCTAGCCCAGGTGCCCACGGGGCACTAGGGCCACCAGGGCCGGCCGGCTCCTTGATCTTTGGGCCGATACCATCACTAAAGCCACATTCCTTACTGTTGGAGCTCATGCTTCGAGTCTGGGCAGAACCGGCAGAAGGGAGCCTTCCACCTGGTCATGATATCCGCGCCAAGAGCTGGGGGAAGGCACGTTATAGGAGCAGCAAAGTCTGGTAAAGGCCGTTACCACAGGAACCTCCTCAAACACAAGGACTGCGTCTGTGCATTCCACGGCACATAGTGGCCCTCTCATTGGTCGGCCCCAGCCAATCAGTGACCGCCATCTTGGGCCACCCCTCAAGCCTCCACCTGAAAGGGACAAAGTTGCTGGCTGCACTGCCAAGCATGGTGTCTGACAGGGAGGTCACAAGCCAATCAGGTAGTGGACATTGAGTGTCTAGTCCTTGTAGCACCTCTTCCTTTCCAGCTGCCTCTGTCTCAGCACCCACTTTCAAAGGACAGTCGGGTATTGGAGTCTGTTTCCCCATTGTGCAGCTAGGAGTTTAGGGGAGATGACAATATCTGAGTCAAAGTCATAGGAGATTTAAGGTCATGATGACTGTGAATCCGAGAGAAGAAAGGATTGCAAGCATCTAGAAAAATGACCCTAAAATTCATATGGAATCATAAAGAGATCCAGAATAGCTAAAGCAATCCCAAACAAAAATATAGCTGTAGGCACCACAATACCAGGTGTCAAGACATATTACAGGATATTACAGGACAGTTATAATTAAAACAGTTTGGTACTGGCGCAAAAATAGTGTGGACCAATGGAACAGATTAGAAAGTAACCCACGCAATAAAACCAACTAATATTTGGCAAGTGAGATGAAATTATTTCCTGGGGAAAACAGTCTCTTCAACACATGGTATTGGGAAAATTGGATTTCTCCATGCTGAAGTTTGACAAACTACCCCATCTTACACCCTCTAAAGAAATCAACTCATAATGGGTAAGGGATCTAAACCTAAGACTTGAAACCATCAAAGTTCTAGAGCAAATCATAGGGAAAATGCTGCAATATATTGGCATAGGCAAAGACTTCTTGGATAAGAACCCAGAAACACAGGCAATAAAGGTGAAAATAGACAAATGAGATTACATCAAGCTAAGAAGATTCTGCACAGCAAAGGAAACAATCAATGAAGAGGCAATCAACAGAATAGGGGAAAATATTTGCCAACTCTATGCCTGATAAAGGAATAATATCCAGAATATATAAGGAGCTTAAGAAACTCAACAACTACAAAGAAAGTAATTCAGATAAGAAATGGGCTAAGGATATGAACAGGCATTTTTCAAAGGATGAAATAAAAACAGCCAACAGATGCTTGAAAAGGCGCTCAGGATCACTAGCCATCAGGGAAATTCAAATAAAACAACACAGTGAGGTTCCACCTCACCCCAGTTAGAATAGCTATCATCCAAAAATAAAAAAATTGCTGGTGAGGATGTGGGGGAAAAGATACCCTAATCCACTGTTGGTGTGAATGTAAACTGGTATAACCACTGTGGAAGACAATATGGAAATACCTCAGAAAGCTGAATGTAGACCTACCATATGACCCAGCCATTCCATTCCTGGGAATTTACTCAGATTAAATGAAATCAGCATATGAAAGAGTGATCTATACTCCCACGTTTTTTCAGCTCAATTCACAATAGCTAAGATATGGAATCAATCCTGATGCTCATCAGCTCACCTTCTTTCCCTTCCATGCTTCATCATTGTCCATTTCCTCTAGTGGTAAAGCCAACAGCCCTGTTTGCTTAGCTAGACCCTGTGTATTTTGACTGCCAGTGTGGCCATGGGAGATATCCTTCTGAGATCTTAGGGTTGTCATTGGCATAACCACAGTGTGATTGGCTCCCTTGCAGTTACACAGGGCTGAAGTCTAGTGACCACCACTTAGGGCGAGGTGCGAAGTGTAGCAGCCTCACCCTAACTACCTGCCCCTCGAATCCTATCAGATGTCACCTGACGTTCCAACATTCATTACCCATTTTCTTTAAAGGATTAGCAACTGTTCATTAATAAATTCGCCTTATGGAGATATAAAATTTAATTAGATGAGGCTAAACATAAACTGTATCCATTGTATACAATTTACATGTACAAGTGCATAAAACAAGAGCCTACAATTCAGAGAGTAATTACAATGTGTTCAAGTCTGGTTACGACTACCCCAGCCAGGAGACAGTGCATTACACCTTCAGAAGTGCCATCTGTGCCTCTGTCAGGAAAAGAAGCCATGTGGAAAATGCTACAAACTCTGATTCCATTTATGACAAGCTGAAAAGAGAAAACTATTGAGCAAAAGGTAGATCTCTAGTTGTTAGGTTCAGGGCATGAGAGAAGGAGTTAGCTACCATATGGTAAGAAGTAAATTGTGGGAGTGATGTAAAGGTATCAGCATTGTGGTACTGGATCCGTAGCAGTAGGCATGTACCAAGTCCATAGGCAAGTGCAGACATTATCCTGTCATCATCCCAACTTTTTGTCAGCAATTGGACCAGGGCATACAAGTCAAATTTACTAGTTAGCTTTTCTCAGTATGAGGATTGTATGTTTCACTTCTAGTGTGGTGTTGTATATATTTCCTCAAGTTCCACCCAGTGCATACTCCTGAGATGAACCCAATTCAGTCATAGAAAATTGTGGACTTTCCTTTTCATATTGTGTAAGAGTCACTGTATTAATGTGCTGTTTCTGATTTTGGCTACTATGCCATCAATGTGTGCTTCACCCCATTTTTCTCTCAAATTTTCCTTTTCTGGATTTGATGTACAAATGATTCAAATCTCAGAAAACGAGTTGAGTAGTTTTCCAAATTTCAACTTTCTGCAACAGCTTGTGTCAAATTGATATTATGCATTTCTAGGATATTTGACAGAATCTGGTATAGAAGCCTGATTTTTGTGGAAGGCATTTTGACTTATATCTCTCTGCAATGGTTATGCAGTTATTTGTTTTGGATACTCTTGTGTCACTTTTGACAACTTCTGTTTTTCTAGACACTGGTGACCCTTGTCTGCATTTTCAACTAGATTCGAATGGAGGGCGCATCATATCGTTGTTTACCCCAGAGTTTACTTTGTAGAATTTCTGACCCACAGAACAGCTTCAGGGCAAGTGAAACAAGCACACACTACCTCTCCACCCCCTTTAAGCTGCACTCACTTCCTGTTGTCATTTGGTCAAGTTTGCTTCCTCCTTTTCATCTTCTCCCCCCTGGTTCTCCTTGTGATGGGTAGAGAGTGATCTTACCTCCCATCCCTCACTGTGTATTCCATCAAAGGTAAGGTGCCTGTCTTTTCAGAGCTTGTCATTTCAGCGTTCACTTTTGATTTTTTTGTTGTTGTTGTTGTTACTTCCAGACTCCAGTGGAACATGTACTCATTCCCACCTCCCTATTTAGAGACAGACTTTCCCTATCAGGGTACCATTTTTTTGTTTTCATTTCCTCCCTAGATTGTGGGCAACACTTTGAAACACTCATGTTTTATAGTTTTGTATGTAGAGCAGCCACACTCACACAAGAATGTATATTTGCAGTGAAGAAGCTTTTTAGCTTGATGTAATCTGATTTGTGTGTTCTGGCTTTTATTCCCTGTGCTTCTGGGTTTTTTTCTGAGAAGTCTTTGCCTATGCCAGTATGTTGCAGAGTTTCCCCTATGCTTTCCTCTACTAATTGATGGCATCAGGATGTAGATTTAGATCCCTGATGAATGTAAAGTTGATTTCTGTAGAAATTGTAAGGTAGAGGTATTGTTTCATACCTACCATTGTTTCTGAAGCATAGATCCGATTTTCACAGCACCATTTGTTGAACAGACTTTCCTTTCTCCAGGGATTGATTTTACCTCATTTGTCAATTATTAGTTGGTTATAGATGTGTAGATTAATATTTGGGTTTCTATCATGTTCCATTCATTTACATGTCTAGGATTAATCTTGTGATTTATAAAATAAACTGAAGGCATTGTAAGAATTAAGAGAAAAATAAGAAAGGAATGAGGAGGGCATGTGGGATTATAGGTAGAAGGAAGGATATGGTGGGAAGTATCATTATGCTTCGTGTATATGAAATTTGTTCCCCTTATACAAATATAAAGTTAAAATCAAAAATGAGTATTTATTTAGTCCCTCACTGTCCAATAAACTGTATTTGTATGCAATACCAATTTCTACTTAGTATTTCTGTCTCTGTGAAACACAAGAACCTGGTTTATAAAAAGTTAGAAATTCATTCCCCACAACAGAAGGAAACATGAATATTACATGTGATGATCCACTTTCTCTAGAACCAGTTTTTTAAAGATTTATTTATTTAAAAGGCAGAGAGAGAGAGAGAGAGAGTTCTTCCATCCACTGGTTCACTCCCCAGATGGCTGAAACAGCAGGAGCTGCACCAATATGAAGCCAGGAGCCAGGAACCTCCTCCGGATCTCCCACGTGGGTACAGGGGCCCAAGGACTTGGGCCATCCTCCACTGCTTTCCCAGGCCATAGCAGAGGGCTGGATCAGAAGAGGAGCAGCTGGGCCTTGAACAGGCTCCCATATGGGATGCCGGCGCTTCAGGTGGCACCTTTACTTGCTATGCCTCAGCACCATAATTGACAACGCTTTCATTTACCTAAAGTATATCTTTCGAGCCTTGGCTGAGAACCCATTTCCTATTGATGTTTGGATATATTTTGGTATCTCTGTTGCATTGTTCTGTGACTCTTTTTATGCCAATTCCATGGTGTTCTGGTTGCTGTAGCTGCTGTACTATGTCTTGAAATCAGATATTGTGATCCCTGCAGGTTTTTTCCCTCAAGTTTTCATTAACTGGTATCTTTTGTGCTTCCATATGAAAACAATAATTGTTTTCCTTTCTCTGTGAAGGATGTCACTGGTATTTTTATGGAGATTGCACTGAATCTGTAAGTCAACTTGGGGACATATTTACATTATTAATTTTACTAATCTGTATGCTAAGTCTTTTCACTGCTTTCTTCTTAAATTGCTTTCATCAACAGTTTGTAATTTTATTTGTAGAGGTCTTCATATTCTTGGGTAAATGTGTGTGTGTGTGTGTGTGTGTGTGAGTAGCCATTGAGAATGAGACTGCTATTGTGATTTCTATCAGAATAAGTTCTTATGTTTATACTACTGCATGGCACGTGTTGCCTCCAG